TCCAGTAACAGTGAAGGAAATGTTCATATATTTTCAAGGTAGCATAGTGGATGGGGACCTTAGTGGTGTTTTCCTATTTATCTGCTGTCCTTGTCTGGAACTGGAGGTCATGGGTTTGGAAGTTGATGTTGAAGGAGGCTTGATGAGCTCCTAAATGAATCGAGTAAATGGTGCAGAGTCCTGCTTAGTCATGTAAGTGGGAGTAAATGTTGAAGGTGGTAGATGGGGTTTGGGGGGAAGTGCTGCTTTGTACTGGATGGTATCGATTTTCCTGAGTGTTGTTACAGCTGCACCCAACCAGGCAAATGGGGAATATTCCATCACACTCCTGACTTGTGACTAGTAGATGGTAGACAGACTTTGGGAAGTAAATTTGTAAGTTACTCACTGCAGGATTCCCAGCCTCTGATGTGCTCCAGTAGTTATAAGGCTGTATTTATATGATTCCTCTGTCTCTGTTGCATCTGTTCCAATGATACCACCTTCCACCTGGCCGTCTCTGACATGTCCTCCCTTTTCCAAGCAAGGATTCTTCCCTCCCCATCATGGTTGACATGGCTCTCAACCATGTCCAACTTATCTTCCTTATCCTCCCTGCCAGAACAATGATTGAGTTCCCCTTATGCTGACTTTCCACCCTATCGGTCTCCACATTCAAAAGATCATTTTACACCATTTTGCCAACTCCAGCAGGATGCCACCCCACCAAACACATCTTCCCCACAGTCAGTGTTCCCCAGGGACCATTCTCTCCATGACTCACCGGCCCACTCCTCCAACACTTTTAATATTTCTCACCTGTGATGCTGTGCAATCACAGAAGATGTAACACTTGCCCATTCACCTCCTCCCTCCTCACTGCCCAAGACCCCAAACAGAACTTCCAACTGGAACAGCATTTTACTTGTACTCCTTTTAATCTAGTTTACTGTATTTGCTGTTCACAATGCGGTCTCCTTCACATTGAAGAAACAAAAAGCAGACTGAAAGATCAAGCATACGAACAAGAAACAAGAGCAGGCCACCTGACCCTTTAAACCTGTTCTGTCATTTAATAAGATCGTGGCTGATCTTATTTTTTTATCTCCGCTATACAGTCCTGCGTATCCCCAATAATCTTTCATCCCCCTCGTTATCAAGAATCTATCAATCTCTGTCTTTAAAATGTTTAAGGATTCTACATCCACTGTCTTTTGAGCAAAGGGTTTCCAAAGGCTTGTAACCCTCTGAGAGGATCCCTAACTCTGAAATCATCAATTATTCCTGTCTCTTTATACAGGACCAGATTTACGATATCTTGCTCCCTCGTAGGTTCCATTACATAATGGTCAAGGAAACTATTGCAGATACATTCTACGAATTCCTCCAAAAGGCTACCTTAACTGACTTGGTTTGACCAATCAATATGTAGATTAAAGTCCTCCATGATTATTGTCATAGCTTTTCTACACGCATCAGTTATTTCTTTGTCTATTGCCCCCCCCACCATGAAGTTGTTATTTGGTGGCCTATAGACTATGCCTATCGGTGACATTTTCCCCTTACTGTATCTAATTTCCACCCACATTGATTCAACCTTTTTCTCCATAGAATCTATATCATTTCTCACTACTGCCCTGGTGTTATACTTAAATATCAGAGCTACACCACCTCCCTTTCCTTCCTGTCTGTCCTTCCGAAAAGTCTGATACCCCTGGATATTTGACTGCCCTGCCACCATGTCTCTGTGAAGGCCACACCTATTCACGATGATTTGTGGTGTCAACTCATTTAACGTGCCCTTATGCTAGTTTTTATTCCTTCTTTTTGAATCCATCACCTCTACCGCAGGAACCTTTGTTTGCAAACATTTTCAGTTTTTCTGTCACTACCTGGTTTCCACTCATCTTAGTGCTACATAATAGTGCTAGACTGCTCAGCTTTCTTTATTCATTTTGTTTTCTTTATTCATTAACGGGATGTGGACATTGCTAGCTATGTCAGCATTTATTGCCCATACATAATTGCCCAGAGGGCAGTTCAGAGTCAACCATATTGTTGTGGGTCTGGAGTCACATGTCGGCCAGACCAGGTGAGGATGGCAGTTTCTTTCCCTAAAGGACATTAGTGAACCAGATGGGGTTTTTCCTGACAATTGACAATGGATCCATGGTCATCATTAGATTCTTAATTCCAGATGTTTTTATTGAATTCAAATTCCACCATCTGCCATGGCAGGATTTGAACCTGAGTCCCCAGAATGTTATCTGGGTCTCTGGATTAACAGAGCAGCGATAATACCACTTGGCCATCGCATCCCCCATCAACTCCTTCTTGCTTTGTATTTCCTATCTTGATTTTCTTTTTCCTTAAGCCCTCACCCACTCTAACTAACTCAGACCCTCCCCTCAGGTTCCTATCCCCCTGCCAAACTAGTTCAAAGTCCACCCAACCTCTTATTATGGCAATGCCTTATTATGAAACTTCAGCTCCTATTTCTAGATTCTCCCATATGAGGAAACATCCTTTTGACATCCACCAATTCAAGTCCCCTCAGGGTCTTATATGTTTCTATTCAGTCACCTCTGACTCTTCTAAACACCAGACAGTACAGGCCCGGCCTGTCTAGCCTTTCCCCACAAAACAATCTGCTCCTTCCAGGAACTACTTCCAGTAAACCTTCACTGAACTGATTCCATCTTTTCCTAAGTATGGTGACTAGTACTGTACACAGTGTTCCAGATACAGTCTCACCAATGTCTCCTGTTGAACTAAAGCATAGCTTCCCTACTGATGCATTCAATTCCCCTCACAAAATAAAATAACGTTCCAATAGTTTTCCTGATTACTTGTTGTACCTGCATATTAACCTTCAGTGATTCGTGCACTAGGAATGCAGATCTCTCTGCATTTCAGAGCACTACAACCTCCCACCATTTAAATACTATGCTTCTTCTTCATTTTTTGCCAAAATGAACAATTTCACAATTTCCCACATTTTAGTCTACTTGCTAGATCTTTGCCCGTTCACTTAACCTCATGTCCTCTTCACAACAATTGCTTTACAGAACATCTCTGTTCCATAGAAGAATTGTATTGGACTCAAAACGTTAACTCTGTTTCTATCTTCACAAATAGAACATAGAACATAGAACAGTACAGCACAGTACAGGCCCTTTGGCCCACGATGTTGTGCCGAACTCTTACCCTAAACCTAAGGTCTATCTAACCTCCACCATCACCTTATACTATCATCCATATGCCTATCTAATAGAACCTTAAATGTCCCTAATGAGGACGACTCCACTACCCTCTCCGGCAATGCATTCCACACCCCGACCACTCTCTGAGTAAAGAACCTACCTCTGACGTCTCCCCGATATCTACCTCCACTCACTTTAAAACTATGTCACCTCCTAAAAGCTACCTCCACCCTAGGAAAAAGTCTCTGGCTGTCTACTCTATCTATACCTCTGATCATTTTGTACACCTCTATCAAGTCACCTCTCATCCTTCGTCGTTCTAAAGAGAAAAGCCCTAGCCCTCTCAACCTTTCCTCATAAGACCTCCCTTCCATTCCAGGCAACATCCTGGTAAATCTCCTCTGCACCTTTTCTAACGCTTCCACATCTTTCCTGTAATGAGGCGACCAGAACTGGATACAATACTCCAGATGTGGCTGAACCAGGCTTTTGTATAGCTGGAGCATAACTTCATGGCCCTTGAACTCAATCCCTCTATTACTGAAAGCTAACACACCATACGCCTTCTTAACAACTCTATTCACCTGGGTGGCAGCTTTCAGGGAACTGTGGACATGAACCCCAAGATCCCTCTGCTCCTCCACACTGCCAAGAATCTTTCCGTTAACCCTGTATTCTGCTTTCAAGTTTGTCCTTCCAAAATGAATACCTCACACTTTTCAGGGTTAAACTCCATCTGCCACTTCTCAGCCCAGCTCTGCATCCTATCAATGTCCCTTTGTAACCTAGAACAGCCCTCCGCACTGTCCACAACGTGACCCACCTTCGTATCGTCCACGAACTTGCTAATCCACCCTTCCACTCCTTCATCCAAATCATTTACAAAAATCACAAATAGAAGAGGACCCAGAACAGATCCTTGTGGTACACCACTCGTAACTGAGCACCATGTTGAATATTTTCTGTCCCCTACCACCCTTTGTCTTCTAAGGGTCAGCCAATTCTGAATCCAATCTGCCACATTTCTCCCATCCCATGCCTCCTTACCTTCTGCATGAGCCTACCACGGGAAACGTTATCAAACGCCTTACTTAAATCCATGTATACCATATCCACTGCTCCACCTTCATCCACGTGTTTGGTCACCTCTT